GGGGGCTGCGGGACTCGAGGGTCGCCTCCCCCTACCGCGTCCGCGCCTCGCTCCGGGCCATTGTGAGCCCTCGCCGGGGCCCCTGCGCTCGCTCCCTCGCTCTCTGGCTTGCGCGCTCCCTCTCTCGCCGGCTCTCGGACTGCGTCCCTCCGTCTCTATGTCTTTCTCCTCCCTTCTGCCCTCCCTCCGTCCAGCAGCCCGGCCGAGCCGGGGCCGGACCCGGGGCGGGAGCAAACTTCGGCTGGGAAGTTGGGCGGCCGCAATGGGGGCGCTCTGCGGGGTGAGAGGGGGGCCCCCGGAGCCTGGGCAAGAAGTTGTCTAGGGCTGCTGGGCAGCCTTTTTTTCACGGCTGTGCCGGGCTGTTTCAAACGGGGTTTGAAAGGTGTCTCTTCCCTTGTCCTCCAAAGTCTCCTCCCCTGCTGCCCCTGGTTAGACCTGACCCTTCGTTGAACGGGGGAGGGAGGCGTCCCTGAGGTTCCGGACGGGGGTGCTGCCGCGTTTGGACTGGGAGCTAGAGTCCTGTCCAGCACTTGTTCCAATCCCTGCTGTCTGAGTGCAAGCAGAGGGCTTGGCAGAGTGGGGAGGGCAGGGGTACCCAATCCGCCTGAGGAAAAGTCTGAAGGGGGCAAGGCAGGTGCATCTGGAGGGAGGGAAATGCCTGTGCCCTGCCCCCCCACCCCGTCCAGGCCCCCTGGGATGGGGCTAGAATCCAGGCTGGCACCTGGAGGCCTTGGCACACTTCCCTGCCCTGCCGGGTACTCAGGCCACAGCAGGGCAGCGAGCCGCCTGTCGCTTGTCCAGGAGGGCCTGCCTGGCCTGGCTGCCCCCCCTCCCACCTCCCCCCAGGGCAGCTATGGTTGCAAGGAGCTACCCAGCCCTGCCCTGGGGCCTGGGAAGCGGGAAGGGATCCTGGGAGGAGCCCTGGGCCCCTAGCCATCTCAGCCCAGGATCTTGGCTCTGAAGGGAATGCTTGACACTGAAGGGGCAGCCAGGCCAGCCCTGGACCTGGCCAAGGCTTGGGCTCCTGTGGTTCTTGGTCTGGGCCAGGGACAGGCCAGAGCTGTGGTCCTGGGAGGCAGCCATCCTGAGGGTCCTACATGCCTGATCCTGGCATCCTGGAGAGAAGGTGGGGCTTAGCAGACAGCTAGGGAAGACACTCTGTTCCCCAGTGTCTCCTCCAGGGCTTTCCTCAGCCCCGAGGCTCAGGGAAGAGGAAAGTGGCTTCTTCAGTCTGCCCACCCACCCAGCCCTCCCCTAGCCCCACACGGGTGCCACAGTGCCACAGCTGTTCCAGCACAGCCCTTACATCCCTCCCCATGACCTCCGAGCCTTCCCCCTCTCTGCTCCTCCTTCTCCCCTCTGGGCCACAGCTGGGCCTCCCAGCTGGTCCTGACCGGTATTGGGGGAGGGGCTGCACCTGGGGGCCCTTTCCAGGACACCTCTTTCTGAGCTTTAGCCCAACTCATTTCACAGCCCACCCCCAGGTCCCCTTGGCCCTGTTTGTAGCCCACCAAGCAGGAGGCAGTGGCCAGGGGTTTGGGGCACCATTTATGGAGTTGAGGACCCCTTGGAAGCAGCCCTGTTTTCCTCAGCCCCTTCCCCTCCCCCTCCTTTCCGGAGCTGCCATTAGTGCTGAC